GGGGGGTCCCGAGATGAGGATGGTGGTACAATTGCTGGAAAAATTCCTGAGGGTTAGTTGGACTCTGGGAGGAAGATGTGGGAGGAGAGCCAGTAATGACAGGGTGGGAAGAGGCTGGAGTGTCAGCTTCAGGGCAGCTAATTTAGTGGTTCATTCAGAGTGTGGACTGTGCAATCTGATTGCCTGAGGTCAGATCCCAGTTTTACTATTGACTATAGATGAGGCTTGGTTTTCTCTCCTATAAAATGAGAATGTGAAGTATACTTACATATGAAAGGTTATAGGATTAAAGGAGCCAACACCTGTAGAGCACTTAGAATGGTGCTGGCACATAGTACGTTCATAGCCAATTACCCATTATTATTGGAGAGGGAGAGGGCTGCTGGGATTAATTCTTATATACATGCCCTGGCAACGTTACACTATGAAATGCCCTCTCTCCTCTTTTCCAGGCTACACCTAGGTAGCTTGTGCAGCACACCTCTTTGCATTCCTGCTGTGACACTGTGTGATTCTGGGCTCATGAGTGGCAGCAGTTTTCCTATCTGCAAGACGAGAGTAGTAGTAACACAACCTTCATATTAGCTAGATCTGTGTGCTGTGAAGCTCTGTACAAATCATGACCACATTTTTTAAATCCATGGGGCTGGGGCTAGAGAGAGAAGTCCAAAGGGAGCCTTTGCAAGGCTGGGGATGGAGGAGACGGTCAGGAAGGGTTCCCGTCCACAGTGGCCCCTCCTCGGAATCCTCAGATCTTTCACATGACCTATGACCTGGCCAGTGCTGTGGTGCGCATCTTCAACCTCATCGGGATGATGCTGCTGCTCTGTCACTGGGACGGCTGCCTGCAGTTCCTGGTCCCCATGCTGCAGGACTTCCCTCCCGACTGCTGGGTCTTCATCAACCACATGGTGGTGAGATCTCCCCGCAGCTCTCCTCTCCGGGGCATTCTCGGGGTTCCTGTGTCTGAGTAGTGGGATGACCACAGGGGGCAAGAGATGATGGAGAGGCGACCAAGAGAGAAGGCAGGAGTGAGGAGGTGGGGAAGAGACCCAGAGGAAGTGTTTGTGTGTTGGAGGGAGAAGACAGGGAAGGAAACGTAGGCAGAAACTGAAGTCCCTAAACTGCAAAAGAGGCCCCTGCTACCTCGGGGCTCCCCAGGACCAAACTTAAGTGCCTCCTAGGAGACAGCTATGAAATTAATGGGGTGGGCAGAAGGACTAAAAGAGAGAGAAAAGGGGTCAGGAGGAGAATGAGGCTCTGAGGGCCCTCTGCCCACCTGTGCAATTCTTTGTTCTCCAGAACCACTCGTGGGGCCGCCAGTATTCCCACGCCCTGTTCAAGGCCATGAGCCACATGCTGTGCATTGGCTATGGGCAGCAGGCACCAGTGGGCATGCCTGATGTCTGGCTCACCATGCTCAGCATGATTGTGGGCGCCACCTGCTATGCCATGTTCATTGGCCACGCCACCGCCCTCATCCAGTCCCTGGATTCCTCCCGGCGTCAGTACCAGGAGAAGGTCAGCAGGGGCAGGAGAAGGAAGGGGTGGGCATGAAGGGGCGCTGGAGGCTGGGTAGCTGAACTTGAGGCCCGTTTTGACACATTCTCCTGTTGGTTCTCTGTGTCCATGTCCATTTGTCTCATGCCCCTGTGTACCTTCTCCTTGTTTGGACCTATACCCCTGGCCTTGGACCCCTCCCCTGCCTGTGTCTGGGTTCTCCTGTGACTGGGCTTTGTCCTCCCTGTATCCACCATTATCCACACGTCCTTCTGAGGCCTTATGTGTCCCCTTCTATCTCCCTGCTTCACTTCCCTGGATTTGGTCCATGTTTGTGACCTTCCTCCACACACACCTGCCTCCACTGCTCTGGCCCCCGTCTCTGTCCTCTTTCCTGCTGGCCATTGGCTGGCCCTCCAGTACAAGCAGGTGGAGCAGTACATGTCCTTCCACAAGCTGCCAGCCGACACACGGCAGCGCATCCATGAGTACTATGAGCACCGCTACCAGGGCAAGATGTTTGATGAGGAGAACATCCTAGGCGAGCTGAGTGAGCCACTTCGGGAGGTAGGACTGGGCACGGCCCTGGAAGGGGCTCTTCAAGGACCTGGGCTCCTAGGATGGCATCTGGGGTAAGGGCTATTGGTGAGCAGAGGGCCCCATGGGAAGCCAGGCCTTTGGGGGGTGCTTTCAGGGGCTAAGGTCTTTCTTGAAGTTCATATGGGGGTGAAGTGTACATGGGGAGGGATGGCAGGGATCTCTGGGAGGACGGTCCTTTGAGGGCTCATGGGAGAGCTCTGAGGGCAGAAGCTTAGGGATGGTCCCAGGCCCACTGAAGCATCCTCATTCTTGCAGATCATGACCCAGGGGTGGGGCCTCTGGAGACAGATGAGCTCGATGGGGGCACCTTGGGAAGGGGGCACAGAGTGCCTGACAGGCCCCTCCCCTTCCCAGGAGATCATTAACTTCACCTGCAGGGGCCTGGTGGCCCACATGCCGCTGTTCGCCCACGCGGACCCCAGCTTCGTCACCGCGGTGCTCACCAAGCTGCGCTTCGAGGTCTTCCAGCCGGGGGACCTCGTGGTGCGTGAGGGCTCCGTGGGCAGGAAGATGTACTTCATCCAGCATGGGCTGCTCAGTGTGCTGGCACGCGGCGCCCAGGACACCCGCCTCACTGATGGATCCTACTTTGGGGGTCAGCAGGCCTCAGGGAGGGTGGGGGGAGTAGAGCAGAGAATGGAGGGCACCTGCTCCCCTGGATCCGAGTCCCTGCCTGGCCACGCTGCAGAATCACAGTGTCCAGCCCCTCCCCAGCCGGCCTACTTACTCAAAATCTCTGGGCCTGGGCCCTAGAACTCTGTATTTTTAAGAAGCTTTTGAAGTAATTCCTATGCAAAGCCAGGTTGAACATTTCTGGGCCAGTGGGCCTTTTAGAACCCATAATTGGTGAGATCCAAAGATCCTCTGAGATGAGGGACAGCGAGGAATAAAGCAGTGCTGTCCCAGGGGCTTCTCTTTATAAAAAAAAAATATATTTTATTGATTTTTTACAGAGAGGAAGGGAGAAGGATAGAGAGTTAGAAATATCGATGAGAGAGAAACATCAATTAGCTGCCTCCTGCACACCTCCCACTGGGGATGTGCCCGCAACCCAGGTACATGCCCTTGACTGGAATCGAACCTGGGACCTTTCAGTCCGCAGGCCGACGCTCTATCCACTGAGCCAAACCGGTTAGGGCCCAGGGGCTTCTCTTGGTGGCTCCCTGCTGGTGTGACCCAGGGGCCCAGCCTGTGGCAGTGCAGGTAGTCCTGCCAGCTGGTGCCCAAAGTGACTTGAAGCTCATATAACCTCTCCAAACCACCCTCCAGCATTTCTAGCGTGTTGCCCTTTGCCCTTTGGCACTGCTTTTCTGGGCTCTCCTTGGTGTTCACATAAAGCAGCGGAGGGGGGTAAGAATTAAGGTGGAGTGGAATAACTATGAGTGGGGGCCAGCAAGTCCTGCCTGGTTGTCAGCTTTAGTTTGGAGAGAGAGAGGACGATAATTGTGTAGGTGTGAAGAGTGACAGTGCTTGGAGCATGTAGGGACCGGGGCCGGTGAGTAAGCAACAGCTTCTCCCATCTGGGAGGAGCCTGAGGAAGCTGGGTCAGCTGCTGCAGGCCCCGTGAGCATGAGTTCTGGGGACTGGTTCTGAAGACCTCCTTCCAAATTCGCAGAGATCTGTCTGCTGACTCGGGGCCGGCGCACAGCCAGCGTGCGGGCCGACACCTACTGCCGCCTCTACTCACTCAGCGTGGACCACTTCAATGCTGTGCTCGAGGAGTTCCCCATGATGCGCCGGGCCTTTGAGACTGTGGCCATGGATCGGCTGTGCCGCATTGGTGAGGCCTGTCCACCGAGTCTTCTCGGTCCAGCCCGGGCCCTTACCCATCTGCATAGTGAGAAGCCCCATTGTCCCAGGGCCCAGCCTTTAGTGCTCCAGCGTCACACCCCAGCCCACCCCCCTCCCAGAAAATGTCCCCATGGGCCTGTCAACACCGTGGCTCACTGTCCTGGCCACTCAGCATCTCCTACCCTTGGGGATATTGCCCTAAGTTCCTGTCCGAGCCCTCCTTCCTGAGTCCCTGACCCTCACCATCTCTGATACGTACTCTCATCGCTTGAGCCTTCTCTCCACTCCGACATTCAGCCTTTATCTTGGATTCCTTCCCTATGCTTCACTCCTCTCTCCGGGACAACCTCTAGGTAAGAATTCCGTCCTGCGGCGGAAGCGCTCCGAGCCAAGTCCGGGCAGCAGCGGGGGCATCATGGAGCAGCACTTGGTGCAACATGACAGGGACACGGTTCGGGGTGTTCAAGGCCTGGCCCCGGGCACAGGAGCTCGGCTCAGTGGAAAACCAGTGCTGTGGGAGCCGCTGGTGCACGCGCCTCTGCAGGCAGCCGCCGTGACCTCCAGTGTGGCCATCGCCCTGACTCACCAGCGGCAACCCCTGCTCCTCTCCCCCGACTCTCCAGCCACCCTCCTTGCTCGCTCATCAGGCTCCCCAGCCTCCCCGCTGGTGCCTGTTCGAGCTGGCCCTCTGCTGGCCCGGGGGCCATGGGCATCCACCTCCCGCCTGCCTGTCCCACCTGCCCGAACCCTCCAAACCAGCCTATCCCAGGCTGGGCGCTCCCAGGTGTCCCTGCTGGGGCCTCCCCCAGGAGGAGGTGGACGTCGACTAGGACCTTGGGGCCGCCCACTCTCAGCATCCCAACCCTCCCTGCCTCAGCGGGCAGCAGGCGATGGCTCTTCTGGGCGGAAGGGCTCAGGAAGTGAACGCCTGGCCCCCTCAGGGCTCCTGGCCAAGCCTCCAGGGATAGCCCAGCTCCCCAGGCCACCAGTGCCTGAGCCAGCCCCCCCTAGGGGCCCCCAGCTCTCTGCCAACATGTGAAACCCCTAGGTAAGCTCTCAGGTGCAGTAGTGAGTACCTGAAGGCAGACGCCTCTTGGGGAAGGCCAAGGGGACCTGAAACACTGCCTATGGGAACATCTCCCCTTACTGCCAAAACGATCGTTTCTGTCCTCAGCTCAGGCACCCTGCAGCCTCCTCGTCCACTCGCCCATTCATCAAATGTACTGAGCGCCTGCCCTGTTCATGGCACTGCCTCCACTGCCAAATAGAAGTGACTCCAAGCCCTCGGCGAAGGTGTTCCCCCAGCCATGGTCCTGCCAGGTGCAGGCCCAGGCCCGTGATCCCTCCTTATTAAGCACAAGTACTTGCCACTGCCATCACTGCCAAGTAGCCAGATGTCTGTTTCTCTGCCCATGACCCTGCAGGGTCTGCCTGGAGGGGCTATCTTCCTGTCCCCCTAGCATAGCCAGCCGATTACCTGTGCCCCGCGCTGTCAACAAATGTTTAGGGTCACCAGTGTGGGGATCCACCTTCACTGCCATGTGCAGGACCTCCTTATCTATACCCCTGGGTGGGAACACGTCTCCTGCCCAGTTCCCTGCACTGTCTCTCGTAGAGCTGTCTCTTTGTAAACTGGGAGCCACCTCCTCCCTGTGTCCCTGCCCCGCTGGTGTCCCCCTTGAAGCGAAGGGATGTTCGGCACCTCCTTATTTAGTGTACCAGCCTAGATCCCCAGGTGAGGGCAAGCGGCTGAATCCTTAGATGGCACTTTTCCTTTTCTTCTTCCCTGCCTTATTTATTTATTTATTCAATTATTTAATAATTATATTTATTCATTTGCTAATTTTATTTATTATCAATTCATTTTATTCACCCATTTCTTTATCCATCCCTCCTCCTCCTCCTGGGAGGGAGACAGGAAGGGGCAGCCCCCCTACCCTGCCCCCTCCCCTCCGCCCACAGTTCCTGTGGTTCTTGTCTAACTCCCTCGGCAGCAATACCAGAACACTCCCTCTATCTAGGTAGGGGCACAAGGGCCACCTGAGGTGGAGGGGGGACTGTTCCTTTTAATTTTAGGGTTTTTTGTTTTGTTTTGTTTTTCCCTACTGAGTTTGCTGTTGGTACAAGAGTAAGGGGAAGACCCGAGGTATCCGAGCCTGGGGAAGGGCAGCCTAGCCAGCACCTCTGGCTTCTCAGGGACAAGAGAAATCCCTTACCCACCGTGTCTCCAGCATCAGAGAATGTGGGACCAGGGCCCCACCTGCTTCTCCTGGGTAGGGAGCTCTGGGCTACTGGCTATGTGGGAGTTTTATAATTGCTTCAGAACAGCTGGGTTTAAAAAAGAAAATAGAGACACTCGTTTTGGCTCCTAGTTTGTGTGTGGAAACAAAGTGGGCATGGAGGAATTTCTGGGTGCAGGAGAAGGGGACTCCCCCAGCAAGGCGTGAGATGGCCCTGAGCGCAGCCAGGGAGTGGTCTGCAATCCCAGGGAGGTTGTAAAGACAGTGGTAGATGTACTCCCCAGCACCCATCTATCCAGGCTTCCCCCAAGGGTGGGGCTTTGATGTTACTGTCAGTGACAATGAAGGAAGAGGTGCCACTCTCCTCAGGAGATAATCAGATGACCATAAAGGCCACATATGAGACTATCAGTCTGCATGGATATGAAATATTTCTAAAATGGACGTGATTGCTCTGTTCCCCTCTCCTCTACCTCCAGATGTGGGAAGCCTGGGGAAATACAATTAACCGGTTAAGCTGGGATTAAAGTCTCCGGGCTCAGAGCACTGGGTGCAGGCATTGTACGGTCGGCGCTGCCGGACGGCCAGTGCTTAACTGGACAGATTTTTAGGGTCTGCGTGCAATGGAGAGGAGGAAGGGGCACCCTGGAATGGGGCAGATGGCAGATGCGGCCTCAGGGAGGGAGGACGGGAGCAGAGAAGACAGATGAAGAGTGTGAGGGGCTTGGAGTGGAGGAAATGGGGAGGAGGGACGGGGCCCAGCGCTGGCTGGGTCAGAGGGGAGGGGCATCTCAGGATATGTTTAGCACCCGCATGATGTTGGTATAGCCAGACCCAGGTCGCCAGCCTGTCACCACAATCACCAGGTCCCCAACATGGAGGAAGCCACGGAGCTTTCCTGGGGGAAGGGAAGATGACAATCAGCCACCGAGGGACTCAGGTCACCCCTGTCATGAGAACCAGCCACCACCTTCTACCTCGAGGCCACCCAGGACGGAATGAGAGGCCTGAGGCTAAACTACAATGTACGCCTCAGGTAGCACCACAGACACGAGACCACTGCAGTATATCAGAATTGCAGGTGTGTCCGTGGGTGGTATGGGGTGTGTTGCTAAGCAGCAAGTCTATCCACCCGTGTTGCTATGCCAATAGGAAGACATGGGGTATGATCATAGCCAGTTTTAAATTAGCTTTTCCAGCTGCGGGGGACTGGGTCCCCTTTCTCCTGTCACCTCCTGCTTCTTATACCACACCAGGCTCTGCCACCTGATGCAGGCCATAGTGGGGTTGACTTGTTAGGGAAGGCCCTGAGCTCTCTCCTGCCTCCTCCCCCAGCAGGTCCATGGAGGCCAAAACATCTCTGCGTCTTAGTGAACCTCACAGAGTAAATCTAGGAGCAGAGGAGAGAGGCAAGGCCCTTTGGGTGGGGGTGGGAAGTGGGGTTGGGGGGGCTCACCATACAAATCCAGGGGTGGGTGGGGAGGAAGTCTAGATGGCTCACCGCTTTCAATGCCAAACTGAACCCGGCGATCCACATCATCTGCCCAGACGGCTACTGGAGGTTCACGGTAGAGCAAGGGGAAGACTCCTCGGCACAGGTGGGCCTGGCGGGCAGCCTGGGCAGAGCGGGTGACAGCAATGACCGCTGCCCGAGGTCGGTACCGAGACAGAAGCTGGGCTGAGCTGAAGGAGGGAGAGAAGGTCAGCCCAGAACAGTGAGAGTGCTAAATCAGAAACTAGAGTTTGGGTTCTGGTTCCAGGTGTCACCAACAAGCTGTGACCCAAGCTGGTTAAGTCCTATTTCCCTGGGTCTTGGTTTTTCTCTTCTGCAAAGTGGGTATAAGATGCCTGCCCTTCTTACCACACAAAGAAGATATGAAATAATAAAGGGTACAGCAAATGAAATAGTCCAGGAAAAACCTCTTTGAGAAACAAAACCCTTCTGAGAAGATACCTTTATAGGATAGTAGTAGTACTTAACTTACAAATGTCTCTGAGGAAGCAGAGGCTTGTAGAGCCTGGGTGACTTACCCAGGGTGTCATGTCAGAGCAAAGACTTGAACTCAGACCTGGGCCCAGCCGTGTAAGACTGTGGGCTAAATGCAAAGCACTTGTTTCCAGCCAGGAGGTCACACTTTGATTCTAGGTCAGGGCATATGCCCCAGTAGGGGGCATGCAGGAGGCAACCAATCAATGATTCTCATCATTGATATTTCTATAATTCCCTTTCCCTTCCTCTCTGAATCAATACAAATATATTTTTTAAATTGTCTAAATGCAAAGGACTTGCTTCTGAGCCCTGGGAGCCCGAATGGTCTGGAAACCAATGCTCCCAGTGATGCCACCTCCCCTCAATCCCCTGCAGCTCCCTGGCACTATCCTGGTGAGCTCCGAGATCCTCTCCTGGCCTCCAGATCTCATAGCCACCCCTCCTCTTGCCCCAGCATGGTCCTCCTCATCTCTGATGACAAGACAAAACCCAAGCCCGCAGCCCCTGACCCAGAGGCTTGTGTTGGGATCCCCCGTGTCCCCCTCACCGGCCAGTCTTGGTCAGCACGATGATGGCAGCGGCGCAGCACTTGAAGGAAGCCTCCACAGCCCCAATGGCAGTGACTTCAGTGGGGTCGCGGGTCAGTGGTGCAGCCCGGCGCAGCTCCTCGAACAGCTGCCGGTGGTACACTGCGGCTTCTGCCTCCCTGGCGATCTGCAGGCATCAGGAGGTCAGCCTGGCAGGGGCACTGGGCCCGGCAGGGATCTGGCTGTCCGGCCCATCTCCGTGCATCACGAGCTCCTACCGCGTGCTGCATCATCACGGCCTCCACCGGAAAGCTGCCCTTGGCAGTCTCCCCCGACAGCATGATGCAGTCGGCGCCATCCAGCACGGCATTGGCCACGTCGCTCGTCTCCGCCCGCGTGGGCCGGGGCTTACTGATCATGCTCTCCAGCATCTGGGGGACATCTGGATGTCAGAGCTGTAGGAGTCACACTCGGATCAGGGAACCTACTTCTCTGACACCCACATTCTCAGCGTGCCCTGGGAGCCAGGGTCACCGTCACAGACTGTGGCATCCTGGCAGCTCAGCTTCTTATCTGAAAATGGAGGTCACAGTATCTCTTCCTGACTTCATTGTTTGAGGACCAAACACCAGAAGGCAAACCGTGCTATGGCCCTAAGGTGCAGGGACTCAGCCTCAGGTGTCCCCGAACCCAGCGTGCCCAGCCTCTCCCGGCCCACTCCAGACCTGTGTGGCACAGACAACTGGTTTGCCGGCCAAGTTGCAACGCCCAATCATCATCTTCTGAGCCAGGAAAACCTTCTCAGCTGGGATCTCGATGCCCAGGTCACCCCGTGCCACCATGATGCCATCGCTCACTTCCAGGATTTCATCGAACCTGGGGGGTTGGGGGAGTCCGGGCTGGGGAAGAGCCAGCAGATGCCAGGGAGAGGAGATGGGAGAGGAGATGGGAGAGGAGATTGGAGAGGAGATGGGAGAGGAGATGGGAGAGGAGATGGGAGAGGAGATGGGAGAGGAGATGGGAGAGGAGGAGCTACGGGCTGGTTAAGGGCCAGATAGGGGCGAAGGCCAAGCCTCACTTCTTGACGCCTTCGTGGTTCTCGATTTTGCTAATGATCTTGATGGCCTGTCCTTCAGGCCCCAGCGCAGCCCGCACAGCAGCCACATCGCTGGCTTTCCGCACGAAGGAAGCGAAGACGATGTCTACGCCGTGCTCCACCCCAAAGCGCAGGTCCCGGAAGTCTTGCTCGGACAGCCCGGGCAGGTCCACCTCGGTGCCCGGCAAGTTCACGCCCTTCCGGCTGCCCAGGACGCCGCCGTTCTCCACCTCGGTCTCCAGCCCCGCTGGGCCTGTGGGCATGGAAAGGGCCCGCCTCGGTCAGCGGGAGGCCGGGGCAGGCACGGGCTAGGGAACAGGGGCCTGGCCCCCGCAGGAGGTTAGGAACCACGTCCTATTCCGTTGGTCTGTCCGCCCTGGGCCGGGGCTCCGCACAGAGTAGGCATCGGGCGGAAGTCGGTGGAAGAAACGA